ATATATATATATATATATGTATATATATATGTATATATATACATATATATAATATATATGTGTATATATATATATATATATATACATATATATATATGGCCGGTAGCAAAATGTTAGATGCAATAATATGCTTTCTTCTTTCAACTATTATGCATGAAAAAGAAACTATTCACACATATCCGGGAAAGGCCGATGTAGTTTTATGTTATGGTACTGTTCCCATTCGAAACTGTTATTGTAATCTGTCCCGTTCAGAGATTTTTAACATAATTCTAAATTCAGATTTAAAGCGACGCATTAGAATTTCCAATATAAAGGTTGAGGGAACCAATTTTTATGTGTTTTTTGCGTCTATGCAATGCAGAAAACGCATACTAACGAGGGCTGTCTGTATGTGTTTCTGTCTGTACCGATTTTTCATTTTGACATCTACAAAACCTACAGGACTGAAAATTTGGGAACTTAATCTACATACACGTACGGGCCCCAGTCCCCAAAATAGGCGCTATTACCCGCGTGGCCCACATGTACGGGCCCGTCAATTTTTTTGACGAGCAAGTTGCTAACGAGAACCTGAAAAGTTAAAAGACGGGAATTTTGAGAGGATGCTCCCCGTTCATGTAGGTGTTAATGACAAACACAGACACCGGGTATGCGTGTTTACCACTTTCGGGCCCAGGAAACTTTTTTTCGGGTAAATTGCTAATTCAGGAAATAGCAAAACTAGAAAGCTGAAATTTTAAGGGGATGTTTCCTGACAGTCCTGGCGGCGGTTTCAATTCGTTTAGGTAGAAGCATTTGCAGGAAAAACCGGTGCCGATAGTGACAAAAACCTGCAGGGAACTGTGCAAAAAACGCATCTTCGCACTGGCAGTTGGTGCGATGGCCATTTATTAGCTTATGATTTTGCACATATTGTTTTACCTAAACGTAAAAATGAACAGAAACCATGCATACGAAGAACGTAAGATCTGCAGAGTGAAGATTTTGCGTTGTAAAAATCAGTACGGTTTCAAATAGAACATTACCAAGTGACAACTGTAACTGGAATCGGCAGCCAACAACAATTATTGGAAAAACAGATGGATGTGGTAGGATACTTCAATTCTAGCTGTGTTTGGCACAAAGCAATTTTGTAAAAAATCCCCAACACAGAAGCATTTTCTCAATTCACCCCATGTAATTCATTACAAGAAAGTACCGGAAGAACGAGGACACATATTCAAGAAATGGCTGAGACCACAAAACAGTAAAAAATGGGTAACTTACGTTGTGAATGAAAGTGTCGGCTACCCAGATAAACTACTAAATCCACCAATGTGTTACGATCTTTCGCTGTTACTTCGTATAATTTCACTGAAAAACGAAAAGGGCAATCAAACGCAAGCAAAAAACAGTCAACAAATTTCACAGTAAAACGAAACGGTGAAATGAAAATGGGACCTCGTTCTTTGGCAGCCCAACTTTGCGCAAATTCACTATCGACCTTCCTTCCCGGTAAATCGATCATATTTCCTAGCACAACAATTGGTACCTAAAATTAGAATTTATAAATCACACGACGTTTCTATCTTCAATGACCTAACATACAAGCATATTCACATATAAAATAAACTTAAGAAAATTAGGTGGAAGAAATTAAGTTCGCTTTTTTTTTCACTCAAATCCGGTTTTCCAGGTTCGACAACTTGAAAATTACGAAAGCCAGATTAGCAAATTGTGCCAGGGGTCGTGGTGTAATGACACCCGGACAACAGGTGTTAGGACTACATAGGGTGCTGTCACACGCTGGGCTCAATTATATGCTAGGTCCTTCCTCTCTGAGATGCAATTTCCCCATGCAGTAAAGATCGCCTATTCGATGTAGGTACGTCACTAGAATTGAAAACAACGCAAAAATAAGGAATCTGTGTAAACGACTGATAATGCTTCAGTAACTCCAAAAAGTGTGCAATAAATAACTAATAAATAAAAACACCTAAAAGAAAATAACGTACTTAGAACGGAAATAATGGAAATCAACAAAGGCTTTCGAAGTAATAAAATAATTGGCTAAAGTACGGGCTGCCCGTGCGAAGATGCATTTTCTGCATAGCTCTCCGCAAATTTTTGTCGCTAACGGCGCTGGTTTTTCCGGCAGATGCTTCCAGCTAAAAGAATTTCAGACTGGCCGCCAGAACTGTCAGGAAACATCCCTT